TCTCTAGTGACAGTGCACTGACTGCTCTCCCTCGGCCTTCTGGATCTCTTGTTCCATTAGCTGACGTCGTCGGGGACAGTCGCCTTCGCATTTTTTATACTTAGCGCCTGTAACGTTGAGAGGCGGTAACTTGCTGGCCTTGGCCGGCTTGCGTTTCCAGAATGTTCCGTCTCCTTGAAAATTTCCACAGGGCATAAATTTTCAGAAATGCCTTTGTCCTTAATGTTACCAAGGTCGACGCTAGGGCCGATACCCGATCGCGAGTACGGTGTTAGGCTTAGCCACCGCCGTAGGCGCCGCTGAAGAGCCCCGCTCTTCGCTAGGCCTAGCCCTTTATGCTGTCTCTCCAACCGACAATATGGTCTGAGGGACTGCCAGTTCTCACTTTCCCGAGAGCGTTGAGCCTCTAGGGTCTTACGAGACCGTTTTTCGTGCAAATGCGAACCTCTTTTCGCTCAAAGAAAGACTTCCAGTGGAGCCGCGAATTCACCGCATTTGGCGGGACTTGGTATTACGGAGAAAGGCAGTGACAGACTTAAATGCCAACGATGGCCTCCGGAATGAGCGATGTCCTGAGAAGCAGAGCAATCTGTTTTTCCAGCCCGCGCCTAAGAGGGGCACCCTGAAAAGTAGAGTCGCCGTAATATTCCGGCGTCCCCCCCCCCCCCCCCCCCAAAAAAAAAAATAATAAAGCCGTTGACAACTCCGTGTAACTTCGAATTAGAGCGCAGCTCTTGAGGAGGAGAATGGAAGGGTACTGAGGGATAGGATGGAAGGGTAGTGAGGGATAGGTGACTCCATGAGGTCACGTGACCTCAGAAAGTCACCTATCCTGAGGTCACGTGACCTCAGGGGAGGGGGGTCGCGTGACATCAAGGAGGTCACCTGACCTGAGGGGGATCACGTGACTTCAGGTAGGTCACGTGACCTGAGGGGGATCACTTGACTTCAGGGGTCACGTGCATCAGGGGTCACGTGACCTCAGGGGGGTCACGTGACATCAGGGGGTAACATAACCTCAGGGCGGTCATGTGACATGAGGGAGTCACGTGACCTGAGGGGGTAACCATCGTGACCCTCGTGAGGGTAACCCTCGCGAGGGTAACCTTAGTAACCCTTGTGAGGGTAAATCTCGTGACCCTCGCGAGGGTAACTCTCATAACCCTCGTGAGGGAAACCCTTGTGACCCTCGTGAGGTAACCCTTTTGAGGGTAAGTAACCCTCGTAACCCTCGCGAGGGTTATGAGGGTTACGCGCGGTTACGCCGACGGCGACGCCGCTCGAGCCGGAAAGAGGCGCCTAAGAGCTGCGCTCTAAAAAGAGATTTGTCGGTGACCACGGTCGGCCGGAATGTGTTTTTTTCTGTTGGTTGTTGGCGCTCGCTCGTGCAGAAGTGGTCACACTGCGGGACGAGGTGCGCGTCGTACGCTTTTTCTTCATCGCAGTGCGGGCAACAGAGGTCGGCATTTTAGGTCGCCCTCACTCACCCTCACCATCACAGCTACACTCACCTAAGCCCCTCACTCACCCTCACCCTCACAGCTACACTCACCTTCAGCCCCTCACTCACCCTCATCTTCACAGTCACACTCACCTTCAGCCCTTCACTCACCCTCACTGAACCTCACGGCCCTCACGCCCCTCACTCACTCATGGCCCTGACGCCCCTCACACCCTCACCGCCCTCACGGCCCTCACGCACTCATGGCCCTCACGCACTCATAGCCCTCACGGCCCTCACGCACTCACCACCCTCACGGCCCTCACGCACTCATACCCCTCACGCCCCTCACGCACTCACGGCCCTCACGCCACTCAGGCCCGCTTCAGATGGGGGAATTTCGCCCAGAAACTTGACGTCTCAACACCAGCAACACGGGCCGCCCGCATTCACACGCAGCAACCAATTGCTGCAATTTGCCGTCATCATCAGAAAATTTCATTTTCCTTGCACTATTTAGAGACACAATTACAAGCTATAAACGTGTTTTTATGCCTTTAAATCTCGTTGAGAATACTAATGCATCTTTCTGAAACAGTTTATTTCCAAAAACGATAAATTTCAAACCAGAACCAAGTCCTTTGTGGTCGTCATCACCGGCACGAGGTATCACGTGAAAATATTGCGTCCCTGATTGGATGCAGCCGCTTCAAACGTCTTCGAATAGACCGATCTCACCAGCCAGCTTGACTACGTCACCGTTGCCGCAATGTATCTAGGGAACTTTAGTCTTTCTGCACGTGCGACAACCCTGCTGGAGCTCTGCGCGAGTGGAGCACGAGAGGGCACGTGCCCTCGCATGCAGGGCCGTCTGCCTCCTGTGAACTAAAGTTAGGGCGGCGTCACGCATGCGCCGAAACGTTAGTGAGATTGGTCTATTGCTCCGAGTTCCTCGCTTGTTTCGAGCCGGTCCCGATCTCGGCGATTCGGGTCGATCTCGGGAAAGCTAGGGAACAACTCACCAGCAACACCAAAATTGCTGAGAAAGTTGCTCCGAATGAAGGGGGCCTCACGCCCTCACCGCCCTCACTCACTCATGGCCCTCACGCCACTCACACATTCGCTGCCCTCACGGCCTTCACACCCCTCACGCCCCTTACGCACTCATGACCCTCACACCCCTCACACACTCACCGCCCTCACGGCCCTCATACCCCTCAAGCACTCATGGCCCTCACACCACTCACCGCCCTCACGCCACTCACCACCCTCACGCCCCTCTCGTACTCATGGCCTTCACACCCCTCACGCCCCTCATGCACTCACCGACCTCACGGCCCTCACGCACTCAGGGTCCTCACAGCCCTCACAGTCCTCATGGCCCTCACTCACCCTCACACTCATGAATTTTCCTGATTCAGAAACTCACTCACCCTCACCTCACCGGTGAAGATGAGGGTGAGTGAAGGTCCTCATGAGTGAGGTCTGCCGAGGTATGGAGGGCAACAGCTGCCTCTGTCGGCGCGCCAGCGGGCCAGGTAAGCTGGGGCAGAAGACGCTGTTTGTGCGAAGTCAGTGTATTGCTGCAGCGACATTCCTCGGCAGGTTCTTTGGCAGTCTGGGTGGCATGGGGCCGTTTGGAGCTCTGGGTGGCGCACACGGATGACCCTCCGCACTAGGAGTTGTGCGTTCAAGAACACAGCCACGCCGGAGGTCGGGCAAGTGTCGTCTTCCTCGACCGAAGCTGCCAGGCGATCCACCTCCTTATTCGCACAATTCCGCAATAAAGGGAGCGGGGGGGGGGGGGGGGGCAACCACAGGAAAGCCAGTCTCTATTCTTGGTGCTGCAATATGATCGCAGCTTTCGCCACCACTCTGGAGAGTGGTGGTGCCTCGTCAGGGTTGGCGAGCTAGGTCAGGGCCGCCTTCTAGTTGCTCAGGATTACCAGGCGTTTGGGCGGACTCCCTGCTTCAGCCAAAGACAGTGCCGAACGCAGCGCCGTGTTATGAATGGCCCCCGGACCATTTTCACAATGTCTACATCTGGCCGTTTGTTTTCGTCGAGCGCCTCCCGCGGGTTCAAGGTCATCTGACTCAGCGAGCCTGGCGCAAGCATCGCTTCCGAAGCACGCCTGCCCCGCGGACGCACCAGACGGGCGCCGTGATATAGCCAGACTTTGCCGTGTACACACGTCTGGATATAGCATCCGAAGAGGGAAAACAACATCTCAGGTTTCACACCAGGGCACGATCCGGGGCGATGAATTCATCAGGACGCCTTCATTCAACGCGTAGACGCGAAGAGTCGAATGTCGGCACGTCACGTCTCGGCCCCGGACGGTGTTTTGACCAGCGGCGTGAATTCCAACGAGCCGGTGTTTTGGTGAGACTCTCGGCGCCGTCTAGACCGACGGTGAAGTGTTTACAGCGGCTCAGTGTGCGTAATAATGGAATGTGGGGCGGTGTTTCAACAAGACACCTTTCTGTGATTGGCCGACTATCCGCCGATGTAGGGGTCCCTACCTAGGGACCTAGGGAGAACCAAGTGTTTAAAATGAACGAACTTTGACAAGCAAATATCTTCTCTGGTCTTGAACCAACTGTACATCATGTAAATAAACAGTGTACTTTTCGAGAGAGATCGCGGCTCATCGTTGTTCCCGCTGAGCTCCAGCCCAGTGCCTGGTTCGAGTCGCCCCTCCACCACCATGGAATCCGCTCGGTCAAAACAACTGGTTGGCAGCGGTGGGATGGTCTCACGAGCATCGGACATTGGAGGTCGGTGGGTGTTCATTTCGTTCGGGGGTTCGCCAAGTGTCGTTCCTTAGCTAGGAATTTGTCAGTGACGTTTTGGCGAACTTAGGGGGCTACTAGAGAAGAGTGTTTGATAATACTTCTCAGTAGAGAGATATCCAGAGCGTGAGTGGCATTCATGGCAGGCATGGAGTGGGAAAAATTAAAGAAACCGGAATTGTTCCAGCTTTCAGAGGAATTGGGACTTCAAGTAGCAAAAACTACCAAAAAGCAGCAGCTCATTGATAAGATTCGTGCATTAGGTTTTGAAAATGAGGAGATCTTGGAGAGATGAGAAGAGGTCGAGAAAAGAGCAATCAAACAACAACAGCAACTTGATTTCAATAAGCGGGAACAGGACTTGAAAGAAAAGGAGATCGAGATTGAGCGTCAAAAACTTGAGGTGGAGCAAAAGAAACTCGACAGCGGGCAGGCTAGCTCAGAGCGCTCAAGTCAAGGGAAAGTCGAGGGTTTCAAAATGGCGAAGCTTATGCAGCCTTTTAAAGTAGAAGAGGACATTGGTCTCTTTCTGCTACGAAGCAAGCGCACATACGGTGCGTGGACGACTGACGAGACCAGCGCTGGGGGACTGGAAAAGAACGTTTATTCGTCCGTGAACAGAGTATTTAACGCAAGCAAGAGAGAGGGAGTTGGGAAGGGAGAAAGGGCGAGGAAAGACATAACGCTGCTGTTGTTGATACGTCACACGCCTGGCTCAGGCGGCGGGAGATAGCATATCAAGATGATTTACAACATTTCTCCTCCCTTAGTATTGAAGGCGCTGTACAGGCTTCCTTTCCCGAGTAGATCGTCGCAAAGCTTGAGGGGGTTTCTGCGCCTTCTGGATAGGCGGCGACGCTTGTGCCGGCGCCACCTGGTCTGTAGGCTGCTCTTTCAAATCGCCTTCGTTGTCGGTCGGTGCGGGCGCAGCTGCAGCCGAAGAGCTCCCCTCGTCTTGGTCTCGAACGCCGCTCCGAGCGGATGCCGGGCTCGGCCTGGAACGCACTTGGTCTATGTGACGTCGAACCACCCCAGTAAGCGTTTGTATGGTGACCACGCGTGACCCTGTAGTGGACTGCACTTTCCCTGGTGTCCATTTCTCCCCCTGGCCGTAGTTACGGGCGTACACGGCTGTGTCGGGCGGCAGTGTCCACTCTTCCGTCTCCTGGGTTGACCCTGGGAAAGGCGGGAAACACGAGTCCAAGCGCGAGCGGATCAAGTAGCCGAATAGAAGTTCGGAAGGGGATTTTCCCTCGTGGCACGGCGTTCTCCTGTAGTTGAAAAGAACTTTGACTAGCTTCTCTTCAAGTGTGCCTTCACTCATCTTCTTTAGCGCTTCCTTAATCGTACGAACAGCTCGTTCAGCAAGTCCGTTAGACTGTGGGTGATACACAGCCGTACGTAGGTGTGCGATTTTATTGTTCTTAGCAAAGATGGCGAATTCTTCGCTAGTGAACTGCGTGCCGTTGTCCGTAACTGTTGTGCGTGGAACACCGAATCTGGCAAAAATGCTGCGCAAGCTGGCAATCGTAGATGACGTGCTTGCCTGCCTCATGGGCACGGCTTCAATCCACTTAGTGGCAGCATCCACGACTACCAGTATCATGCTGCCTGCGACCGGCCCGGCGAAATCGGCGTGGAGCCTCGACCATTTTTCCTTAACGGCTGGCCAACTGATGGGTTGAGCAGAGGCCGGCATAGGCAGGTTTTGAACGCAATTGTGGCACGACGCTGAGAGGTGTTCTATCTCTCGGTCTAGTCCCGGCCACCAGAATGCCGATCTGGCAACCGCCTTCATGGCCGAGGACCATTGATGCGTTTCATGCAACATGTGTAGTACCCGTTATCGTGCTTGTGTGGGAACAACAACTCGATGACCCCAGTATACCAACCCGTGAGCCACAGATAGTTCCAACCGGCGTTCCGAGAATGGCGCCAATCCCGCGTCCTTTACATGTGTAGGCCAGCCGTGCTTCGTATACTCCACAACCTTCGTTAGTAACACGTCCTGCGCAGTTAGCTGTTTGAGTTCCTCGACAGCCACAGTGCCATCATCGAAACTTGCCAGCGCGTGAACATACTCGGGGGGTTCGCTCCTTGCAGGTGGTTCTGGAGTGTGCAGCGGTAGCCGGCTGAGTGGGTCGGCGTTTAGTAGCAGCTTACCGGGCGAATACTGAAGTTTGTAGCGAAATCCACCGAGGTAGAGAGCCCAGCGCTGTATTCGGGCTGCGGCCAACGCCGGCGTAGGCTTGTCCGCTTTCAGCAGGCCCAGGAGCGGCTGATGATCTGTGACCAAGGTGAAATCTCTGTTTAAGAGATAGTCGCGAAATTTCGACACCCCAAAAACCAGAGCCAAGGCCTCACGTTCTAGCTGAGAGTAATTCCGCTCGGCACTGGTCAGCGTTCGCGACCGGAAGCCAATGGGCCGGTTTACTTTTCCGACCGTATGAAACAGCACAGCACCGATGTCATGCGGAGAAGCATCACACTCCAGTTTCAATGGTTTCGCGGGGTCGTAGTGAACGAGTACCCCTGCCGCAAGTAAGCACTGCTTTGCGTTGGCAAAGGCGGCCTGCTGAGCTTCTCTCCAGACCCAACGCGCATTTATCCCCAGCAACTGGTACAAGTGTGCAAGCACGGATGACATATTCGGCAGAAACTTGGAGTAATACGACAGCATGCCCAAAAACGAGCGAAGTTCCTGCACATTTGTCGGGTTAGGAGCCTGGGCGATTGCTTCCACATGTTTCTCAGTGGGATGTAGGCCGTCTTTGTCGATTTGGTGCCCTAAATACGTGACTGAAGGCTGACTAAATTTGCATTTGTCTCGCCGGAGTTTTACACCGTGCTCGCGGAAACGCTGCAGTACCGCTCGCAGAGTATCGTTACTTCCTTGTCGCTCCGCAACCAGCACATCATCGAGGTAAGATTGCACGCCTGGTAGTCCCTGCAGGACTGTTTCGATTTTACGTTGAAAGATGGCTGGGGCAGACGCTATGCCAAAAGGCAGCCTCTTGAAGCAAAATAGCCCTCGATGCGTGTTGATTACGCATAGCTTCTGTGATTCTTCGTCAAGCGGTACTTGGTTATACGCGTCACGAAGATCGAGAGTACTGAAGTACTCTCCCCCGTTTAGGCACGCAAACATGTCGTCAATCACCGGCAATGGGTACTGCTCCAGTTCGCATACAGGATTTAACGTGATCTTGAAATCGACGCAAATCCGAACTGTTCCATCTTTCTTTAAGACAGGCACAATGGGCGTAGCCCACTCCGCATGCGCAACCGGTGATAACACGCCAATTGCTACCAGTCTGTCTAGTTCTTGAGAAACCTTATCACGGAGAGCAAAAGGGATGGATCGTGCCTTACAGAACTTTGGTGTAGCTCCCTCCTTGAGTTGAAGGTGTACAGGGGGACCGCTGATGCAGCCGAGTTCCGCACTGAAGACGTCTTGAAACTTGTTGGCGATGTCGTCCGCGGCCGGGAGACTCGTTGGCGATCCGGCTTCCGCAGTCATGTGAAGAATAGGTGACCCTGCGTTGCTCAGCTGAAACAGTAGGTCCAGCCCGCATAGACTAGGACCGGGGCAATTCAATACAATTAGGGGGCACTCTACTACGGCACCCTTGTAGGCTACCTTCATGTCCAATTGTCCTAGGACGGGGAGCTTGCCAAGATAACAGGACAGCTTGACACTTGAAGGTTGCAATGGCGGCCATCTCTCCCAGTTCTTTTCATAAATTTCGCGGGGCACAACACAGACGGGCGACCCCGTGTCTATCAGCATTGGCATGTCGACACCGCACCACGTGAATGTCCTGTGAATTGGGGGCTCTAATTGCCACTTTCGAGAAGAAGTCAAAGTCCAGAGGTGCATCGCTTCGTCTACGTTCCCCTCCGCACAGTCTTCCGCCATCGCCAGTGCTCGTGCCCGCATGCCTTGTGTCGACGCCATTTCGCGTTTCCTCGGAGCGTCGCTCGAGCACATTTTCGCAAGATGACCCGGCCTACCACAGTGATAGCACCTGCTCTTGGCCCAGCGGCATCCGTGGCTGTTGTGCTTCTTACTTCCGCAACGCCCGCATTTTAGAGTCGGCTCGTTCGTCAACACGCGCTGCGCGTCAACCTTCAGTACGGTGGTTGTATCGCCCGATATCTTATTTGCGTCGTCATCTGCCGTTTCGGCTGATAGTGCTATCGCTTCGGCCTCTTCCAAAGTCAAGTTTGCTTTTGCCAAAAGCTGTTTTTGCAAGGCCTTTGATCTGACGCCACAGACTATACGGTCGCGGAGCATTCGTTCCAGCATGCTGCCGAAATTGCAGTTGTCTGCAATGCGTCGGATGTCGACAAGGAAATGTTGTAAAGGCTCACCTTCGTGCTGACATCGATTGAAGAACCGGAAGCTTTCGGTGATCTCGTGGCGCTTTGGGTCGAAATATTCATTCAGTGTTGCAACTACTTCTTCGTAGGTCAGACTGTTGGGTTTCTTCGGAGCGACTCGTCCCGCTAGGATCTGCACAGTCTTTATGTTTAACGCTGCTACGAGCAACGCCCTTTTTCTCGCTGTGTCGGTAACTCCCGTTGCCTCGAAATAAGCTTCTGCCTTGATGACGTACGCTCTCCAGTTGTCCCTTTCGCCGTCATACTCGGGAAGATGGTGGTGAGCCAAGGCTGGCGTTGTCATTGCTGCAGGTTCTTGAAAGGCCGTACCGTGGCTTTGCTCGCCGTGATCTTCTTTTAGTGCATGGGTTCCTGTCTTGCTCGTCGCCACTGCTACGTAGCAAGCGCACATACGGTGCGTGGACGACTGACGAGACCAGCGCTGGGGGACTGGAAAAGAACGTTTATTCGTCCGTGAACAGAGTATTTAACGCAAGCAAGAGAGAGGGAGTTGGGAAGGGAGAAAGGGCGAGGAAAGACATAACGCTGCTGTTGTTGATACGTCACACGCCTGGCTCAGGCGGCGGGAGATACCATATCAAGATGATTTACAACACTTTCTGGTGAACTTTGAGCGCACCTGCGAGAAAATGGGTTTCGGGCGAGAAACTTGGCCGCAAAGACTGCTGACGCTCCTCCCGTGTGAGGCCGCGGACGTTGTCGCGCGATTGAGCAGGGAGGACGCCGAAGAGTACGCAAAGGTAAAGGCGAGCCTGCTCCGGAAGTATCGCCTCACAACAGAGGCCTTTCGCCAGCGATTCCGTACCATGCGAAAGAAACCAGAGCAGGGATATCCGGAGCTCGCATACGACCTGCGTGCAAATTTGATTGAGTGGCTAAAAAGCGCGGACGTCTAAGGGCAGGACGATAAGGTTGTAGAATGCGTGGCCCTCGAGCAGTTCTACCGTTGCCTCCCGGACGTGACGTGAACACCGTCGAGAGGGCGGGGGAGCTGGCCGAGGAGTACGCTTCACGCAGAAAAGCGGGAGAGGAGCGCCCGCTCAAGAGGGAAGCTAGAGGAGAGCCTAATAAGCCCTATGGAACCGGCAAATGGCATGCGGCAAAGGCCGGCAAAGACAGCTATGGGGAAAGTAGGCGACACGGAGGAAAGTCTCCAAACGAGGACGGCTCTAAAGAGCCCAGGTTCAATGAGAAGGAAAAGCCCGAGGAAAAAAGGCGTTTGAAAAACGCAAGCCGCTTGTATGCTATAACTGCCATGAAAGTGGCCATATCGCGGCGGGTTGCCGGAAACCAAAAGTCGTCTTTCATTACGCCGATGACGATGAGAACATGAGGCTTCTGGAGCCCTACGTGCATGACATGAGAGTAAATGGAAGGCCTTGCCGCGTTCTTCGCGACAGCGCGGCAACCATAGATGTAATGCACCCGTCATTGGTTAGGCCCGGGGTCTACACGGGGGAGTGTGCCTGGATTAAGCAGGCAGTCGAAGACCAGAAAGTCTGCCTCCCCATTGCTCGCGTCAGTGTAGAGGGTCCCTTTGGGAAACTAGAGACCGAAGCAGCAGTTTCTCGAAATTTGTCGCTTAGTTGCCCGTATCTGTTTTCGAACAAATCATATCAGATACTGCGGAAGAGGGGTTTCGTTTTTAGCGAAAGGGCGGTGCAGGCACTCACGAGGGCAAAAGCGCGCCAAATAGCCGCAGAGGTGGTGAGTCGGGGAGAGGAGGAAGTGTCACCGAGGTGTAGATCGACCTCGGACGGTCCGTCTCCCTCCGACAACGAGGAGATTACTTCTGCCAACAAAACTGAAACGATGCCGACGGAACGCGGAGGCGCGGCCGGGGAACCCCCGGAAAGCCAAAACACGGAGGCGGTAGACGGAGACGCTGGGGCGGACTGCGAAAAGGGGGACGACAGGGGGCTTCTGCTTTCCCCTTCCTCGCGTAGTTTTCAGACCTTGCTTCAGGTAGACCGAGAGGTTCTGATGGAGCAACAAAAGAGTGATCCGAGCATTACTGTACTGTATGACACCGCGAAAGAGGGAATCAGTAAGCGGAACATCTCGTATCAGATGAGGGCTGGAGTACTCTATCGCCTTTACAAAGATCGTAAAGGAAGGAACCTCGACCAATTGGTCGTGCCTCAGAAATACCGCTCGGATCTCTTGGAGTTGTGTCACGGGAGCTCTTGGTCGGGCCACCTTGGCCATAAAGAAAACCAAAGACAGGGTGCTTCAGGAATATTACTGGCCAGGATGTTTTCGCGACGCGGAAAACTTCGTAAGATCATGTGACACGTGCCAGCGGATAGGGAAGCCACACGATAAGAAAAAAGCACCGATGAGGCTCGTCCCGCTGATCACTGAGCCTTTTCGCCGGTTGGTCATCGACACGGTAGGTCCACTGCCCATGAGCAAGTCGGGGTACAAGTATGTGCTCACACTACTGTGCCCCGCAACAAAGTTCCCGGAGGCATGTCCTCTCAAAGAGTTGAGTTCGGCGGAGATAGTGGACGCCTTGCTGTCTGTCTTTGCGCGAATCGGATTTCCCGCTGAAATTCAATCGGACCAGGGCAGCGTGTTCACTAGCGCTCTCACGGGCACTTTCTTGGAGAAATGTGGTATTCGTGTGGTCCACAGTTCAGTGTACCACCCCCAATCAAACTCTGTAAAGAAATGGCATTCCGTCTTTAAGCGAGTTCTTCGCGCTTTGATCTTCGAGCAGAAAACAGATTGGGAGGCTTGTCTGCCGGCCACCATGTTTGCACTGCGCACCGTGCCGCACGAGGCCACGGGTTTCAGCCCGGCCGAGCTCGTGTATGGGCGTTCGCTGCGCTCACCACTCCGCATGCTTCGCGAATCATGGAGGGCCAAGGGGAAGACCCGACGGTGGTGGAGTGTGTGCTAAAGCTGCTAGATCGCTTGTATGAGACGCAGGAAGTAGTAGAGGAAAACATGCAGAGGGCGCAACTCAAGGCGAAACTCTACTATGACAAGGGTGCCAGGTCCCGAAAGTTTGAAGTTGAAGATCAGATATTGTTGCTGAGAGCTTCAAAGAAAAACAAATTGGAGGTGCAATGGGAAGGCCCAGCCAAAGTGCTTCAAAAGCTCTCTGACACGAACTACGCTCTAGAATCAGGAGGGACGAGAAAGAAGGTAACGATTTACCACTCTAACTTGATGAAACCCTACGTGGGGAGGAAAGAGAAGGTTAGCCTTGCTTGGAACACACCGGAGGAAGTTCCCACGGATATTCCTAGATGGGAGGGGAAACGGGGACTGTACGATGTAGATACGGTAGTGGCCAAGGCAGTAAAAACCGAAGTTCTTATTGAAGATCAGGTGAGCGACCTGCGCGATGTGATCGAGGAATTCGATAAAGTGTTTTCCGATCGACCTGGTCGTACTGATCTGGTGTGCCGTGACATCGAACTCACAGACGGCACCCCAGTTCGATCGAAAGCATACAGGGTCTCTCCAAGACAACGTGACATACTAGCCGAAGAGATCAGACGCATGCTTGAGCTCGGAGTTATAGAGGCCGCCGAAAGTGACTACACTTCTCCCCTCATACTCGTGGAGGTGCCGGGTAAAGATCCTCGCCCGTGCATCGATTATCGGAGACTAAATGCGATCACCAGAGACCAAACTTACCCCATCCCAAACATAGAGGAGAGGGTAGAGCGTGTAAGTGCAGCCACGTACATTTCCACATTGGATCTGATTCGCGGGTATTGGCAGGTGTCCCTGACGGAACGGGCAAGCCGCTATGCGGCATTTATTTCACCACTCGCAACGTTCCGTCCGCTGATGCTCAGTTTCGGGCTTAAGAACGCCCCATTTTGTTTTTCAAAACTCATGGACAGCGTCCTTCGCGGGATGGAGGGGTTCGCACTGCCATATCTCGACGACATCGCGATCTTTTCGGAAACATGGCAAGAACACGTTTCGCACTTACGTCAAGTGTTTGGTAGGCTACGTGAAGCGGGACTTACGGTAAAAGCCGAAAAATGTCAGCTGGGGCGTGCTGAGGTGACCTACCTAGGTCACGTCATTGGACAAGGGCGTCGACGACCCTCGGAAATCAAGGTAGCGGCCGTTGACGGTTTCCCGAGACCCGAAACAAAAACGCAGATCCGCTCGTTTTTAGGCCTGACGGGATACTACCCGCGATATATCGCAAATTATTCTCAGACAGCTAGCCCACTCACGGATGCGCTCAGAAAGCATGAGCCCAACAAGGTCATTTGGGACGAGAAAATGGAGCAGGCTTTCCGGAACCTAAAGACCGCGCTCACGCGGCGACCGGTGCTAAGAGCACCTGACTATGCTCAGCCATTTTTCGTCCAGTGCGACGCGAGCGACCGGGGACTGGGTGTGGTTTTGTGCCAGAAAATCAAGGACGAGGAGCACCCCATCCTCTACGCGAGCCGCAAGCTAACCACAAGGGAGGAGGCGTATAGCGCCTCTGAAAAGGAGTGTGCTTGTTTGGTCTGGGCCGCGCAAAAGTTGTCCTGTTACCTGGCAGGTGCCATGCTCACCTTCGAAACGGACCACTGTCCTCTGACATGGCTGCAGCAGATGTCACCCAAAAACGGACGGCTCCTGCGGTGGAGTTTAGCGTTGCAGGAATTTAACTTCCGCGTAACTTACAAGCGAGGAAAGCTGAATTCTAGCGCCGACACCCTAAGTCGCATGTACTAAAAGCGTTCTTGAAAGAGCTTGTAGAGTTTTCCAGTGATTGTATAGATTTTGAATTTTTGGCCTTGCTTCAAATGCCATCCGCACTCGTCAGATAGAAAAGTGGAGTTAAGCTTATATCAGTTAAGATATGTAAGATGCGTTTGGGGCTTTTCTTTCCCTTTTCTCGGTAATACCGTTTTGTACAGCTTCAGAGCGTTTTGTATGCAAGCCAAGTTTTGTTTTTGTAACACGGTTCCTGTTTTTTTTTCTTCATTTGTTCAGTATAGGAGACGCGGTGTTACTTCAGTAATAGTTGGTGGCTTTATTTTCACGGGAGTCCGGTTTTACTACGTTTTATTGTACCTTAACCTGATATTTTATGGAGGCTGGTTTCTCGTAATGAAGGTATAGTTCAGTATTGTCCTACCTTGATCGTGAC